ACATCTCATTTGAGGTACAGGCCAATAATTTTTTTTTCAATACCGAAGTGACCAGCTAGTCCTTCTTCATGGCATTCTTTTTTTTTGGGAAAAATTATGGCCTAAGCCCTTTTCATTAATATAAATTTGTTACATGTAATGAAGAAAGAAAGAGCAATAAAAAAGATCTTGTCAAAACTTACAAGATCCAAAAATGGGATAATAAAACAAAATCCCCAGAACAAACCTTTAAAGCAAAATAACCAAAAAAGAGAATGAAAAACAGGAGAAAATAACCAAAGGAAGAGGAGATCAGAGATGCCGCGGGCTCAGGAATTGCCGCTCTCTCAACCTGGTTGCAAAAATAAGATTCCTTCCATCCATAGGAGAAAATGGCAATCCAATCATCATTGCCCATTTTCACGATAAACCCCACAAACCAATTCCATCAGCAGCTCAGCAAAGAGCAAAAACAACTACAGCAGGTAAAAACAGAACAGCACCCGGATTGCCAACCCAAAAACACATCCAACAGAACAGAAGCGTGCCAGAACCACCAGTCACAGCACCATACAATTCTCAAGAAGCCTTACAGTAACTTCATCAGCAAATCTCTATTTTTCCATTTCAAAATTCTAGAGAAAACTGCAGTCTTAATTTTCAGGGTTAAAGAAGTGTAAGAAAGAGCAGAATCCCCAAAATTTCTATCATTCCTTTCTCTCCAAATATAGTAAATTGAAGAGCAAATAAGTAGATAGTAAAAATCTTTATTCTTGTCACGAGTTTCTTTGATATATTCAAAAATTTGCAGCACACTAGGTATGAGCAGTAAAAAACCAAGATTGGAAATAAGCTTTGAGAGAATAGTAAAAGAGTAGTCACATTCAAAGAAAAGATGGTTGATAGATTCTGCATGAGAGTGGCAAAGAGCACAAATAGGATCCACAGAGATATTTCTGGCTAGTAAAGAGTCCGCAGTCTTTAAACCCCCAGATAAAGCCATCCAGCTATAAGATGAGTATCTAAGAATATAACGCTTATGCCAAACAAATTCCCACCAATTAACATTAACATCATGAATATGGAAAAAATCCCTGAATTTCTTATGCCAACAAGCTTTAACATCATCCCAGTAAATTGTATCCCGATCAGCAGAAAAAATAGGAATACCGGAAAGATAATTCCGAACAGCAAGCGGCAAATGCTCAGGCAGGTCCCAAGCAAACCCATTCATAATGACATTAATCCTCTCATTAACAGGAAAAACCGAAAGCAGCGGTTGAAGGACATCAATTTCTTTGATACAGCTATCTTTAACCCAATGATCCCAGAACAGGGCAACATTAGAGTTAGCAGATACATTAAAGTGAAATTTAGCTTTAGACAAATTAGCATCCCTACAAATATTTTTCCAATACTTAGAGGCTTTTGAAACAGGGTCTTTCCAAGGAGAGACATGAAGGTGTAAAAGCCAACTGCTAAGAGGACTTTTCTCATTGTAAATTCTTAAGATGAGAGAACAGTTAAAGCAAAATTGGAGGGATTGAAGAGAAGGCAATCCAATACCTCCAAACTCTTTAGGCTTACAAGTATTTTTCCAAGAGATTAAATGCAATTTTTTCTTATTTAAGTCCCCAAAGAAAATGAATTTAGCACATAATCTATCAATTTGTTTTAGAATGGTTTTGGGTATAATACTACCATGGATCTAGTAGGCAATAGTATTCCAAATCGTATACCTGAGAAATTGAAGTCTGCCAGCAAAAGATAATGCTTTAGCTTTCCAACCAGACAACTTCTTAATGATACTCTCCATAAGCTTAGAAAAACAGCTAAGTTTCGGGTGAAAAGCGGATAAGGGAATTCCCAAATAAGTCATAAAAGAGGAGCAGCAGAGATGTTAAGTGCAGAGCATAAATCCTCAGAATTAATACAGTTAAGGGGTAATATAACAGAGCTTTTCCCAAAGTTGACATGTAGACCAGAGGCCTTAGAAAATTCCTTAAGAATGTTGGAGAGTTTGATGCAGTTATCAACATCAGCTTTGCCAAAAATAATCAAATCATCTGCATATAAGAGATGAGTCAATCTAAAATTCCCAAAAGAGAAACCTTCAAAATATTGATCGAGCAAATTGCAATCCAGCAAGCAAGACAGACCATCCATAACAATACTGAAGAGATAAGGGCTAAGGGGGCAACCCTTCCTTAGCCCAGATGAAGATTGGAAGAATCCCTCCAAAGAACCGTCCATACAAAGAGAGAACCAGACATCCAGAATACAAG